GCCGACATCCAATCATAGTATATGTGGCCCAAGAAATCACACATAGGGCCCACTAAATTCTTTCCCCCACTTCACTAAATCATGCATCATCGTCCCTTCACCCTTGTGTCATTCAAAAATATTTTCAATTTTAAACCTAATTTTACGGTAAGTCAAGGTTTATGGTCATCTTCCGAATATCTCGACTAATTTTTGAAAAAAACTAGCGTAATAACTAACTTTCATGGTCCCTCGTTTAAATCTTGGGACCTAGAGAGATTCAAATATGAGACTATGTACCTCAACAACACATCCCAACATTCGTTCTATTGCTTGGGCTGCCCAAAAGTGGATCACATCAAATTAGTTCTCCCTTAAACTTATGCTAGTGACTTGACTTTCGGTAAAAATTGGTTGAGTAAACGACTTTTTTCCCACCCAAATAATGACGTATGACACATTTCCACCAGTAAACTTTTAAAATATCATTTTAATGTCCAAATTTATATTTTGTTTTTAATTACGATATCGTTACAATCCCACACCACCATTATTCTTTTCTTTCCCCTATCATCACTCACTAAAACCTCTCAAATCCTATTCCTACCGATCCAACCAATCATTGGTAATTAAGTTATCAGAGTTTGTACAACCGCCTCTCTCAAGTCAAATTCTAATTAATCCCGACTATCAAAATCTAATTTTCTACTACTAAAAAACTCATCGACCTTCTCTCTTTACAAACCTCAATAATTTAGGCTAAGTTTATTCTCAGTTTACTATTAAAATACAAATTTAAATAATAAAATAATATTTTAAAAATTTATAAATAAGAAAATATCGTTGAATCATTATTTGGGTAAGAAAAAGTCCTTTTAGCTCAAATCGATTACTTAATTGACACAAATTTTTGAGAGCATCATTTAGGATGACGAATTTAATATAACAGATGTGATGCTATCGTTAGAAAGTGATTATGAGATAACATAATATCTTGATTTGCCACGTGGCAATCACACAACGGTCAAGATTCTAAAGGCTGAACGCACATCATAAAAACGTTATGCTGACATAATATAGACATAAGATTTATTTATGAAGCTTCGAATAAACAAAGGCAAAAAAAGAATCTGTTCCAGTGTCGCTTAAGGTTAAGGAAGCTCCCATGTGGGTCTTATATTGGCCGCCAAACAATTTTCACTTTGACCCCAACTGTTTTCAATAGAAATCTTCATCTTTTTCTTCAACTTTCTCTCTATAAATACCTGCGAATATCTCGCTTATTTTCCACAGTTTCTTATCCCAAACCAAAAATGCCTGAGATAGACAATTCTTTTGCTGTTAAAGAACCCCGCTCGGTGGTCAGAAAGTTCTTGGCCAGGCCTCAACATGAAGGCCTTGGTGCCATTGTGAGAAGAAGCATCGGAAGGTGATCATTAACGAATGATTAATTTAATTAAAGAAATGGAAATTTGAAGAGTTTGAGATGTTTTTCTAACTGGGTTTTATTGTTTTTCCAGGTTTGAGTTGCGTTACTTTGATCCTTTTCTTGTTTTGGATGAATTCTCAGGTGGGTTCCTCTGTTTTTTTTCTTTTTCTTTTTTCTGCTCTGTTTCTTCATGAACTGTAATGGCTTAATATTATTTTGTTTTTGAATATTTTGCAGTCACTGCTCCTGCTGGATTTCCTGATCATCCACATAGAGGTTTAGTTTTGTTTGGTTTTGTATTTTCCCGAGAAAATTCACCCTTTTCATCCACAATTCTGGTGATTCTGATTGTTCTGTTTTCTCTTTAACAGGATTTGAAACAGTGACATACATGTTACAGGTAACTTTCTACTATTAAAAAATAAGCTAAAAGATAATAACTATTTATTATAATATATTCTGTAAACAGTATAGTTGTTTGTTGAATAATAATAATAATATAATAAAGTTAGTTAATCAGTCAATTAGGTAATCAAGACTCATTGGTTAGCTTCAAAATAACACATTGATAACATGGTGCCATAAAGTCAGCCTACCATGCCAGCTATGGCAGGCACAAAATGCCACAATTATATGCAATTTAGACCAGGGAATTGCCAGGTTGTTGAGGGGAAAGTTGAAAGCCCAACATAATAATAATAATAATAATGCCACCAAAGACTAGTTTTGTCTTTAATTTGAATTTTGAGTGTGAACTCAACCTTATAGCGTATACTTACTGTGCATAGTACAAGTTTTACGTTTTTAGTTTTCAAGTTTCGTCACGTAATGAGTTTACACGTTGAATGTAAATCCCGCGTATGTTAGGAGTAATTGCACTAGATCTTGAGCGAAGATTGATTTGATTGATTGAGTTAAGAGGATGATAACTTTGTGCTGTCAGGGAGCTGTTACTCATGAAGATTTTGAAGGCCACAAAGGGACCATAGGAGCTGGTGACCTGCAATGGATGACTGCAGGGAGAGGGATTGTTCACTCGGAAATGCCTGCAGCACAAGGCACCCAAAAGGGCTTACAATTGTGGATAAACCTCTCTTCAAAACATAAAATGTAAGTGTTTAAAAAATCAAGGCAAAATCCATAGTGATGTTGGAACTTTTGGGTTAGAATATGCTTATCGTTTTATGTCTTTATGCAGGATTGAACCAAGGTACCAGGAAATCTTGAGTAAGGACATTGCAGAAGTTGCAAAAGATGGCATAAAAGTTAGGGTTATAGCAGGAGAGGCCTTGGGGACAAAATCACCAGTCTACACAAGAACACCAACAATGTACTTGGATTTCACTCTAAAACCAGGAGCTCATCTTCAACAACCAATACCGAAATCCTGGAACGCGTTTGTATACGTCTTGGAAGGCGACGGTATCTTCTCGAGCACAAAATCTTCACCGGTATCAGCACATCACTTGCTTCTGCTAGGATCTGGGGATGGCTTGGAGGCATGGAACAAGTCCTCTAAGCCCCTCAGGTTTATTCTAGTAGGAGGGGAACCATTAGGTGAACCTTTAGTGCAATTTGGGCCATTTGTTATGAACACACAAGAAGAGATTGACCAAACCATTGATGATTTTGACAACTATGTTAATGGATTCGAGAAAGCTAGGCATTGGAGATCAGAAGCTGCAATTAGCCTTGATTTTTAGATCATGTTTTAGGGAGAACTTATTGGTTCTTTATCAAAGTAGGTAATAAAAAAATCACCAATCTCTCTTGTATATTTTAGTTTAAAGATTAGACAAAGGAATTGACATCTATTTGATGGGTTCCTTTCGCAAGCTCGCATTAATCTCATTACTACTTTTTGGTAAAAGCTAAGTTACATTTGTATCTTTAAATTTTTTACAATATTTCTTGTATCTCTTATTTTCGGCAATAAAAAAATCATGTAATACTTTTTAAAATCGTTGTCTTGTTAGGTAAGTAATGAATCTAATAAAGTACTAGCCGGTTGAAATTATTCAAATATGCCAAAAATTTCTCCGTTTGGTACACTATTTTTCAGTATCCTATTCCCTATTCTATTCAAAATACACATTTATTCTCTTGTTCTCAAAATATTATTTAATTTCTTTTAAATCTCTTAAGTTTATTAATTAAACTAAAAACCCCAAATTTTTTTTTTTAAAGAAATTGACAGAACACCCCAGCAACCTAAATTTGCCAAATTTCGGCTATCATCGCCTGAATCTGGCCTATAGTATGTTAATCTAGCATTTTTCGGCCAGATCCACAATGAATCTGGCCGAAAAATGTTAGATCTACTACCAAATATCTGACTGTTGATGACTAGATCTTTGGTTGTAGTAAGTTGTTAACAACGGTTATATCTTTAGCCGTTGTTGACCATCAACGATAGCCATATCTTTGGTCATCGTTGACGACTAAATGCGGCCAGATCTGGCCGTCAATAGCCAGATCTAACTGTAGATCTAGTAAAAAAAGTCCATATCAGCGCGTGACCGGTCAGATCCAGCCAGTCTTGTGCCAATACGACGACTTCGGCTATCCTCCGACAGTGGTGGCCAGTTGTCGGTATTTAATGGGTGGGTTGGGGGTGTTTTTATTAATTTTCAATATTTTATTATAGGGTTGTTTAGTAAATAAACAAACATATGAGATATTTTTATTAATTTTTAAATCCTACATCATAATACCCACCCAAATTTACTTTTTCTAAAATATTATTCTAAAAAGTATCATAATATGATTATTCTGATAATAATATGGTGATTGTAGACCCCATAACATAGGAATCTTTTCTCATGGAATGAAATTCCATGGAAACTTCAACAAGCATCTCTTGAGGATTTTCCATGTTCCCACCAAGCTAAATTTGAATGTCAATCACTCCCATTCTTCACTCTTGGGAAAGTAAATGTGAAACCTTCTTAGAAGTATGGGAAAAATTGGGTTGTTCAGTAAAATTCTATATCGTATGCCCATCTATAATGTTAGCATTTATATTTCCAATATGTTGCGTATAATATTATGTAAGTTTACAAGATATTGTCAATATTTATAGGGTTAGCATATCCTAGCTAGTTACTTCATTAATAATGTGATATATAAATTTATCTCTATTAATAAGGTATTGAATAGAACATTTTCAAACCATCTAATCACCTAGTACCCTAATATTAAAGGTTTTGGTCCTTAGTATTTATATAGTAGTTTAAATGATGCTCTTGACTTCTCTAAGGTTGTAGTTAATATTGTATTCTAAGTAGGATTGTGCTCTAAATTGGCTTACTAATGAGTCGAGCCGCACGTGAGCTATTTGAGCTTGATTTGAATCGAGCTTGAGTTTTGACTATTTCAATTGAGTCAAGCTCGAGTTTTTCAATTCTCGGCTTGACTCGACTTAATTACAACGCTCTAAACCTCATTAAAATGTGATTATTAGTGGGATACAAAGCACGTCTCCTTACTTCAACCTTTGGGCTAGTAATAGTATTAGGGTGTTTTCGTAAATTTAATCGATTTAATAAAACGCATAAAATATTAAAGAAAAATTTAAGAATTGTGACTTTTGTCGCTCTGCTTCTCTCTAAATAGTAAATACACGTTTTGAGAAAAACTGCTATGTTTACAAAGACAGAGCCCAGAAACAATCTTAACTCAAGAATCTGAAAGCCATGAACAGAAACAAATCAAAGCTTCTCAAGATTTTACTGGCTCTCTTCGCTCTCAATTCTCTCTCTTTATACCTCTACTTCTCTCACTCCCATTCTCACAACCGTAACTCTCACGACAACGTCCCCTTCAATGAGCGGTCAAACCTGCGTCTGCCCCACCAGTTCTCCAAAGCCTGGCCGATTCTCCCCTCCTACTTACCCTGGTCTCAGAACCCCAAAGTTCGTTACCGCTCTTGCGAGGCCTATTTCGGAAATGGGTTCACAACCCGTGTTGACCTTCTCCCCACTCCCACTGCCGGCAACGGAGGAGGCGGAGGAGGAGGAGGGTGGTTTCGTTGCTTTTATAGTGAAACTCTGAGGAGTTCTATTTGTGAAGGGGGGAAATTGAAGATGAATCATGAGAAGATTGCGATGTCAAAGGGAGGTGAAAGGATAGAGGATGTGATGGGGCGAAGAGATGAAGAGGAGTTGCCGGAGTATCAAAACGGTGCGTTTCAGATTGAGGGAGATGGGGTTGTGGTGGGTTTTAGAGGGAAGAGAGTTGGGAAAAGGCTTGTAAATGATGATTTTCTTAATAGTTATGTACCACGTGGCGGGATTGATATGCATACAATGAGAGGGTTGATTGGGTCGATTGAGGTTGTGGATGCTAAGGTTTTTGATGAGTGTGAGCAGGTTTGAGTTTTAAAGTTTTGATCTTTTTGTTGGTTTGATTTAGGGTTCGTTTGATTGAATTTGATGTGGTCCTGAAGTTGTTATTTTGATTGGTTTATTTGTTCGGTTTGGTGATCTGGATTGTCTCTTTTGAGTTGAATACCAGGTTTATTGGAACGATGAATGCTCATTGATGATTCATTTTTGTTCTCCTGATTTGTTGGAAAGTGATTTACTGCATTGATTGATTTTAAATTAGATTAATGATAGTTTGGAAGGAATTTAGTGTAATTTTGGATGCAAAAAACATATTTTTATTGGGTAATATATTGAATATACTGCTGGGTTATATTAAAAGTGTTTCAGTTAATAGGTTTTGAATGAATTGAAATGAATTAACTAAGTTTAGACTAGTTGCTTTCTTCATCTTTGTCATCTTATTGTTCTACTTTTATTTAGTGATCTATTCTTGTGCTGCTTTTATTGTTTCTGATGTTTTAAGCTTACTGGCAGTGGGTGGAGGAGCCGACACTTCTGGTTACTCGGTTTGAGTATGCAAATGTTTTTCACACATTTACGGATTGGTACAGTGCATATGTGTCTTCCAGAGTTACCGGCTTGCCAAATCGACCTCATGTGGTTTTTGTTGATGGCCACAGTCAGGTATGTGGGTTTGATTTATTCCATGACTTGTTTCTTTTATCAGTTGCTGCTTTGATATTTCTCAACGTAGACTATGAGGGTAATTCCCTGGAACAACGATAAGTGCAGTATCATAGAATATTTTGTGGAAATGTTGTATTAGTTTGCAATTTTTGTTGGTTATTTAAGTAACCAAAAAAATGAACTATTATACATAAATTTTGTTCAATTTATGAAATTGTTGACATAATAGCTGAAGTTTGTTGATGAATGAACTTTTGGACCAGATTTAGTTTCCTTAGGAACTTCTAGGAGATTTACTTCTAATTACAGAGAGTTACGATGTAAATATATTGACTATCTATGATTCATGGAGGAATAGATTGATAAAATCATTTTCATAGGCCTACTTTATTTATCAATTCTTTTGACTTATACTATTGATGTTGAACATCCACCAAATTATTTGGTTTCTTCCTTCTCTAATGGTACTATCTGGTGCCTCCAGTTTAATCCCAAATGCAAAGAAAAAAAGAAGAAAGAAAACAGTGTCAACTGGAAGAATTTGGAATGGTGCAAAATCTGGTGACAGAATCTTTTGCATTGCAGAAAAATTTCTAGCGTTGCAATGCTTTAATGATATTCATATGGATAGGTCTAGTTGTATTGTACAAACCATTTGAAGACGATTTTAATGTCAGACCTATGATGGTGGGCATTGAGACAAATGGGAATTGGGTGTTTTATGGTCAATTTAATAAGTATGAATTAAATTGTAAATATCGCTTTCCAGCTGTTTTTTCTCCTATACCTTTTGGTTTTGGTGGTTTCCTTGCCGATAGAAGCAATGAGGGTGCTCTATGGACAAATTTTTGAGCATCTATAGTTCTCAGTTAGCCTCTTAGTTTACTTATCCTTTATTGATTGTGAGAAGAATGCATAATGATTATTATAGTCCTTTCGTTATATTGAGGATGCTTGTAGATATTACTTTTTTACTGCTTGTATTTTATATTCACATTGATAAGGATGACCATAGTTAAGCAGATGAAATTTGCTTTGTTTACACTTAAGTTAGTGACACCACATTTGGTTCTTGTCCTTTTTTAGATCTCACATTATAAGCTATGCCTCTTTTTTTTTTAATAGTTATATACATGCTAGTTAGTGATCCTTGATTTGTTCCAACTTCCAAGTTCTCTGCTCTGTATTCCATGTTTTGCTATTTTAATATAACTGAACTGATTTCTTTTGATGGAAAATTTTCAGACACAGTTGGAAGAAACATGGGAAGCATTGTTTTCAAGCATTAGATATGCTAAAAACTTTAGTGGACCAGTTTGTTTTCGCCATGCTATTCTTTCACCTCTGGGATATGAGACTCCACTATTCAAGGGGCTGAGTGAAGATATAAGTTGTCATGGAGCATCTGCACATGAGCTGTGGCAAAACCCTGATGATAGCAAAACTGCTCGTATGTCTGAGTTCGGAGAAATGATTAGAGCGGCTTTTGGGTTTCAAGTAAATAGGCACCGCATTGAAAAGCCAGGTTCAGTGCATAATGTCCTTTTTGTAAGGCGTGAAGATTATTTAGCCCATCCACGCCACGGTGGTAAAGTTGAATCAAGGCTAAGCAATGAACAAGAAGTGTTTGATTCATTACAGAGTTGGGTATCTAATAATCCGGAATGTAAAATAAATCTTGTTAATGGACTGTTTGCACATATGTCTATGAAGGATCAAGTCCGAGCCATTCAAGATGCTTCAGTTATTATCGGTGCTCATGGTGCTGGTCTCACTCACATAGTATCTGCTATGCCAAAAACAGTGATTCTAGAGATTGTTGCAAGCCAATATAGACGCCCACATTTTCAATTGATTGCACAGTGGAAGGGTTTGGAGTATCATGCCATTTATCTTGATGGATCATATGCCAAACCTGCAGTTGTTACTGACAAGCTTAGCAGCATAGTGAAAAATCTTGGATGCTGAATCGTTTTTTGATTTTTCCGGGAATTGATACATTCTGAGAGTGCGGAGTTGGAAGTGATCTAATGTCATTTCTGTTTTCTCTGTTCTACATTTAGCTCTGCTGCTGATGCATTTTATAATTTTTTTGATGAAAGACTGGTGCAGAAAATCCTTTAACTGGATTTCATCATATTAAAGAGTTCAACCATATCTGTTGTCAATCCAAGCAGGTGGATCGGGAAATGCTACAGGTAGATAGAAGCCTGGCCCCTTATCTTGTTTCGCAAATGTCATTGGCATTCTCGGGCAGATCGGTGAGCAAGAATTGGAATGGCTGCAGATACCTGACAGACACTTACCTCATCAATAAATCCTTGAGGGGGCGGCAAATTTGAGTAATTTTTCCAGATTACTATTTTTAAATTTTCTCACACTGATTACTTCTTGTGATATAGATTACTGTTACACATTCAATTTCACATATTGATATTCGATGAAGACGATAGCAAGCATTTTTCTCAGAACTACATCAGTTTTGTTGCTGATAACAGAATTTTTTTAGCCTTGCATTTGTGTCTTTGAACTTCAGGAAATGTGTATTGTTGTTGAAGGAAAGTTGCTGCACCCATTTTGGTTTTACTTGTCAATATCAAATTTCCCAGTTGCTGCACCCACCCATTTGGGTTTACTTGTCAACATCAAATTTCCCAGTTGCTGCACCCATTTGGGTTTACTTGTCACAATCAAATTTCCCAGTTGCTTTATATTCCGCAGATTAATGGCCAACTAGAATACTTGCAGAATCAATAAAAAGATGCTTGATCATCCAAGCTCACTATCTCAGTCAACTCATAGTTTTATACAATCCTAGTGACTATTTTGAAGTGGCAAATTGTTCAAAAAAAAAAAAAAAAAAAAAAAAAATTGAAAAATCATCATAAATATGGATAATTTTATAGACTTGCTTGTTTAAATTATAGTCACTTGATACACAATACATGAGTTTATATAAGGGTGACAACTTTTAACTGGTTCAAGAGAAGGAATTCTGAGAAGAGATTTCAATATTATTCACCGATTTTCTTAAGAGCAAAAGTTTTATTTTTTCCGAACCCTAATCCTAAATTGCGAGCAAGAGATAAATTCAGTTTCACAACAATGAAAGGAATACTAAAATCTAATAAATCTGATTTTCGTAAACGAGATGAAAAACATATATCCAAGATATAACTGCGTTCATCTATTTACAATAATTCATGTTTAAATAGTATTGGATTCTTCCTTATTTAGTTATTTAACTGAAAAAGAAAAAAAAAGCAATAAATAATTTTACTTCCTAGTACATACCATTTGTTAACATGAGAATATATAGCAACACGTGGGCACTTTTAAGTGGTTGATGATAAAGAAGATTTAAATATGATCCACCGATTTTCGTGGGAAACAAACAGTATACTCTCCTTACTCAGTGCAAGTATAACTCTCTGGAAGAGTAAAATAAAAATAGAAAAAAAAAAGAAGTTATACCCTTAGGAACCCTAACCCTGTAAAGTGAAGATAGATATAATTACACGACGATGAAAAGTATATTCAAATCCAAACCAAAAACCTCAAAAAGTTCCGATGAAGTTGTACGTCTAACTCGTAATCTTCTGGTTTCACTCCTCTCCAATGAACCTGATTTTCGTAAACGAGATGACAAGGTACATATATATCTAAATATAATATCATGATCATTGACAATTTTCGTACTATAAATAATATGTTAAAATACAAACAAATAAAAAATTATTATATTGCATGCACGTTATTTTTAAAAGAAATTATATGTTATATGTCTAATATTTCTCTTTATGAAAGTATGTTTTTATCTTTCTGAAGATATAACAATTATGGCAGATAAGTGTTGACGACTTAGTGAAGTGAATTTTATTACTTGGTTTTTTTTTTTTTTTTTATTACTTATTTATGAATGTAGGGATGATGTATTTAGAGTACCTTTAATGTGAATGGATGAATTCTGCAATATGATTGAAGGGAAAAGAGGAAATTTTGAGTTTGAAATATATGTGTTTGTGTGTTGGGTTTGGTTATTGATCATTGTTTTTGGCATATTTTAATGGTGCGTGGTTAGTAATACAAAATTTACGTAGTATTAATATATATATACAAAATTTATAGCCCGTTTATTGTACTTCATCCTGTGATAAAGATTGATTGACCTTGAGAAGGACATAACTCTGATGGTTTTGCCTATGATTTTATATAATTTACTTACCTGTTTGGCACTGACTTGGTTTCAGGTAGCTGAGCTGAATAAGTTAATCCGGGATTTGAAGTTCATTCTTTATGGAAGTGCTGAATCCGAGCCGGTTGCTGAAGCTTGTAAAAAGTTGACAGAAGAGTTCTTTAAAGAGAACACTCTACGCCTTCTTATTATCTGTCTTCCAAGATTAAATTTAGAGGTGGGATTTTGAAGTTGGCATATTTTTTGATTGAATGAACTTCTATTAGTTATAATTTGTTGCATATTTTATTATATAAAGATGACGATTTTTCATAGGCTCGCACAGATGCCACCCAAGTGGTTGCAAATTTGCAGAGGCAATATGTTGATGGACGGTTAATTGCTCCTATTTATTTGGAAGAAAACTTAGATCTTTTGGATATTTTGGTTTCTGGGTAAGCTAGCTGTTCTCCATGGCAGCAATTTTAACCGAAAATGCAAGTCTCTTATCACTAGCAGTTCTTAGAATTTGATAATTTTCATGGTACTTTTTAACTTTTTGCCATGGATTTTAGCTTCTGATACTGAAGTTTATTTAGGTATGAGGATCCTGAAATAACTTTGCATTATGGTAATATGTTGAGGGAATGTATTAGACATCAGATTATTGCAAGGTAAACTGATCCGTGGCCTTCTTTTTTAAGAAAATTTGTGTATTGTAGCTTAACGGTTGATTGTTTACTTCATTGATTGTTCTCAGAAGTGTCTTGGAATCAGAGTCCTTCAGGAAGTTTTTTGACTATATACAGCTTCCGCATTTTGATATTGCAGCAGATGCTACAGCAACTTTTAAGGTTGATTCTGCTTGTTTTTTCTTTCTCCTTATCCTATTGTGGGGATTGCTTATAAGCTAGTTTTGGAATGAATATTGAACTAAATTGAAAACTTTTCTGTGCCTTATTGGAGAGAGATTATTTATGTTGCTGCAATTATTCTGAGCTTGTTTTAATGTTTGGTATGTATCTTTTTAATATGTATCTGAGATGGGAATGTTTAGATTTATTAGTGACATGATTGGAAACATCAAAATTTTACAAATCACTTCTCCTCTTGTTGGTTTAACTTTTGAGACTGAATTGACACACTGCAACTTGCAGGAGCTGTTGACGAGGCATAAGTCAACAGTTGCTGGATTTCTTTCCAATAATTTTGATTGGGTAAGTTTGTCACTGAACCTTAATATTTACTTCATTGATTCTAACATGATACTTTTTAAGATCTGTTTCCGTGCTTCCAGTTCTTCCATGATTACAATACCAAGTTACTCGAATCTAGTAATTATATCACAAGAAGACAGGCTATCAAGGTAATTGAATGTTAAGATTATCCTCTATAACCCACAAATGTTAAAACTCTTCTGTATTTCTTCTCAGTAATCTTCTTTCTGATTTTAGCTGCTTGGCGACATCCTACTTGAACGTTCAAACTCTGCTGTGATGATACGTTATGTTAGCTTGAAAGACAACTTGAGGATTCTAATGAATCTTTTAAGGGTATGATATTAATTAGCTTTCTCTTTAGATCAAATTTATATTTTGCATATAAGCTTCGCCTTCTTTAATGTTTCTGGATTTCTTGGTTACAACAGGAGTCAAGCAAGAACATCCAGATGGATGCTTTCCATGTGTTTAAGGTTTGTTTCAAAATGTTCATATACAGTTTTATCTATTTATAATTAATATAAGTGGTCATTATTAAATTAATTACCAATGTGTAACCAGGGACGTAATCACACTATAATATATGGGTTCAATTAAACTTACTCAAATTTTGGAAAAATATCAAAAAAAGGTTTTATTCATTATTATATTTATAATTTTGATCCCATTTAAATTCATATTGAACCCACTCAACCTTAAAAAAAAATAAAAAAAGTTTTATATTTTATAGTATTTACAATTTGATCTTACTTAAATTCATATTGAACGCACTTAAACTTTGAAAAAAATAAAAAAAAAAGCTTTATATTTTATAAAATTTATAATTTTGACACCACAAAACTTCATTATTGCAGGTTTATCAACTTAGTTATTTATAACCCCTTACTTAAAATCCTTACTTTTTTGTCTCTGCTTTTGATATACATGCATTGACTTGTAATCAATTACAGATCACACCTCAGGTTGACTTACATCCATAGTCACCCCAACCTTAATTTTTCTTTTTTTTTAATTCATACATAATAAATATAACAATTATCCTCTATGAGTTATTTTCACTTTGCTCATTTTTTTTTTAAACTTTACACTTTATTCCCCTTGAATACAATTTTCTAAATAAGCTTTTATATTTTGGTCTCCCTCATTCATTAAACATTACACTTTCCCTTCTAAATATAATTTCCTAGCTTCGTCACTGGTTGTGGCGTTGCTGATAATTTCTAGTATTATAGACTTTCTCGTTAGGGGTATTGCTAGGGTCAAAAAAAGCCCTCGGCCTCAATAGACCTAAAGATGAAGACACCTTCAACACGACTTATCGATTGGGCTACAACAGATTCGTATATTGGGCCTATTCATTACACCTACCATGTTGCTCATTGTCTGAGCCCAATTAATAAAGGCCCCGATTCGTTTAGGCCTCATCATCAACTTGTCTGGGCCCAGGCCTAGGCCCATTGATCCAAGATCACCTACTGGACTTAGGGTTTACTTAGACCCCAAGGTTGCCTACTTCCTATTTCGGTATTATCCAGATTCTATTGAAGAGATCCATCACTATCCTAATCGGTCTGAGATCCGCATCTTAGACCAACTAGGACTCCTCCTACTAAGGTAAGAGAATCAAAGGCTTTCCCATTCACTAAACCTCAACCACCAAGGACTCATAGTCCTATTAGGACTCGAAGATCCTACAACTGCTATATAAACAGAGGCCAACCCTCTCACGAAGGAGGACATTACACCTTCTAACCCCATAGTTCCCACTCTTGAGAGCTTTACATCACAACCGTAGTTATAGTCTTCGACTAAACTTTTGGTAACCTTCTTTTTCCCTAACCCTCACTAAATTAGACTCATTCAGCTTTGTTGACTTGAGTGTCGGAATGCCTACGACAAACTCCACCCCGGTGTTTTCTGTTCACTTCACGCTTGTTTTCTTGCGTGTATAGGTACAACGGATTGCTGGTGGCCTCAACCTCACGGGATCATACCCCCCATTCTGTATCCGTAGATTTTATCGTTTATAGGTATGCAGAAAAAATAATGTTAATTTCTAAGTATAGATAAAATTCAGATAAAACTGTTCATATGGAAAATTTTCCCAATTTTGTTTTTTACCATTTACTATTGTCACCAAATGAAAGTTCAAATTAAAAAACGTACAAATATACTCACTTAGACAATTTTTTTTTTTTTTTTTTTTTTAACTGAGTTGTCCGAGTCAACTTACTCGCACCCCAGGTAAATTATAGGCAAAATTATTGTCTTTACACCTAGCAGAGAATCGAATATGGGATTGTGGGTTGAGGCCATGCATAACCTACTCAGTTCGTCCATCTTGTTGGGCTACCCATTAGAGATGGGGTTGGGTCGGGTCCCAGTCTTTGACTTTGGGGAAAATACCCTTACCCGAGTTGGAGGTGTCGGGGAATCCCTTTCCCCTTCCTCGCGGAGATGAGATGATCGCTTGTACCCTACCCATCCCTGTTTAGGGAGAAATTCCCTGCGGGAATTTAGTCCTTGGTGGATATTAATCCCCACAGGTAATTTCCCCCGATTGGGGAGTAATGACATGGGGAATTTTCCCCGCGAATGAGCATTAATCCCTGTCGATCAATTTCTAATTTTCGCTTAAACATCTTAATTCTTAAAGAGTCACGGTGGGGAACTTGCAATTGTCATGAGTCCAAAAATTATTCAAATACCCAAAATAAATAAAATAAAAAACTAGAAAAGGGCTATTAATCTTCAGAACCTTCTGTTGTGAAAATCCCAAAATATCATTACAATTTACAAGCCATATTTATATACCCATAAGAATATATAAAAACAAATATAATAAATACTTATAACATTTGTGGAAACTTTCTTTCAAATTGGTGCAAAGTCTAGAGAGTAAGAGTGTCAAACTACAAGCGAAAACCAATGTCATAACTCAACTACATCCTATAGATTGTAGAGCATCACAAGTTCACAAAAGAACAAAATTTCAATTGCACATTTCGCATACACCCAAAATCCCAACAGAATAGCCATCGCAAAATGGTAATTTGCACTAGGGGTGTGGAAATCCAGTTAACCAAACTGGATTGGCCATATTACTAACCGAACCGGTTATTCGGTTCAAGGGATTTTGCAAACCGAAACCAAACCGATTTATCCCTTGAACCGATTAGTAACCGAACCGAATTTTCAGTTCGGTTAGCGGTTAACCGGTTTATAAACCGGTTTTTGCAAAAAATATTAAATTTTATTTTAATTTAATAATATACTCATTTCTCATCTCTAAAAACAATTAACACATAACATAAAAAGACCATTTTCACAAAAATTGTAAGTAATCTTTGTAATTATATGTAATCTATATGACTAATCTTAAAATTGAAATCAAAACTAAAGCATTTGCATTGAATTCAGCCAAAAGTGTTTTTCCTAGTAGTAGTACCAAAACAATGCAGCAAGCTAGCAACATAAAAAGATTGTTAAACCAAAGTAAGGCAGCCAAATACATAACATGATTTCCATTTTCCAGCAGCCAAAATCCAAATACAATAATACATAGCAACATTTACAACAGGCAGCAGCCCAAACAATACAATGCAGCCAAAACAATGCAGCAATGCCAACAATGCAACTAAAAGTCCAAAACAATGCTTACAAAAAATATTCCAGCAGCCACAAACACAAACACAACCAAGTACCAACACCTCTTGGCTCTTACAAACATTTTCACCACCATTATAAATACATAAAAAGTTTACAAAAAGCTAACAACAGCAAACCAAATTTCCAATTTGCCAACAACCAAGAATGCCAAGTTTGAAGTCTCCGAACTCCCAAGTCCCAAGTCCCAACTACTAAACCAACTAGCCAAGCCTGCCAAGCCCATAAGAAATAGAAAATTAAGTATGCCAAATTGCCGATTAAATTATCCACACATCATAATATCATATGACACATATAAGACTAATTAAATTACATTAACTGAAAGTTATATACCACATATACGGAACATTTGTTCAATACTTCAATTATCCAAAGCACGATTATTTTCCAATCTCAAAAACGAAATTCTTCACAACATTAGACAAATACGTTAGACAAAACATGCTGCAAAATATGTTTAACAAAGCTAACAAATAGTCAAATACAAAGTTATAAAAAATTATAAGTAAAGAAAGAATTTTACCCATCTCAAATCTTGCTAATTCGTCCAAGATCTCCTCTATGATGAATGGTGCATGCTCAGCTCGAATCCAATCTTGTGCACAGATTAGAGCCCCCACCATCTTAGGAGTGAGAGAGCTATGAAATGGATCTAATACACATCCTCCCGTACTGAATGCTGATTCAGATGCAACAGTAGACACAGGCATAACTAATACATCTCGTGCTATCATGGACATAATTGGATATTTAGTGAAATTTGTCTTCCACCATAACAAGATGCTAAACGACTTGTCATTTTCATCTTCACAGTCATCCGATAAATATTTGTCCAACTCTGTTTTGTGATGAACATATTTTTTTTCAGCCTTTTTCTCCTTATACCTATATTGCAAAAGGGCCCTAGAATCAATATTTGCATCATAAATATCATTCTGAATTGTCATATCTGACTCCTCACATGGCTGTACACTAGGGACCATCTTATGCAAAGTGTATTGCTCAAATAAAGACACCAAAACTTTCTTCAATTTTTCCCTCAACCTTTCAACAATAACAGAATCATAGGCATCAAGAATTACCCATTCCACATATTCTAACTTAAACCTAAAATCTAGTACCTTTCCAATAAATAACATGATGTTGATAATTATCAATATTCGACCAATATTTATCATATTTCCCCTTCATTCGTAAAGTCATATTACATAATCCAGGATCAGGACTATGACACCATGTTATAATCTGCAAACCAATAGCAAAAATCTCTTCCATGTACACATTACCAGTGATATAAAGCGATCCAGAAACACGTAGAGTAGCATCATAAAAAACCTTCAGAAAAGGTAATAAGTACCGAGCATACTCCCAATCAATGCATGTCAGCACACCCCTTGACCTGTCCCCACTACTAAGGTCATCTGTATACTTACTATCTTCTATTTCCAACAACTCGAAAGCTTTCTGAAATTTTATTGTTGCATCTAACATCAAATATGTGGAGTTCCACCTTGTTTCAACATCGAGAACCAATTGACTTTTACTTTCAATTTTCTCTTTCACCACACACTGCTTAAATCTTTGTAACCTTGCTGGAGAAGATCTCACATACCTCACTGCCGATCGAATTCTGAATATTGAGTCATCCATATCTCTTAACCCTTCTTTTACAATTAAACTAAATATATGAGCACAACATCTCATATGGAGGAACTCACTATACAAAACACTCCCCCTCCAACTTGCAAAACAAGTATTTAGATAGCTTATTCCAACATCATTTGAGCTTGCATTATCAATGGTGATTGTGAAAACTTTTGAAATGCACAACTCAAGCAAACACCGCTCCACTGCCTTACCAATGTCAATACCTTTATGACTTGTGATCAAACAAAAGTATATAACCCTTTTCTGAAGTTGCCAATCATCATCAATGAAATGAGCTATCAAACACATGTAATTGAGGTTTTGACAACTCGTCCATGTATCAGTGGTCAGACACACTCTTTGAGAGAACTTACTAAAGAACTTTTTCAACTTTTTCAACTTTTCGTACTTTTCAATATAAATTTTCATACAATCTATAGCAACTGTAGTTCGACAGGGTACTTGAAACCTTGACTGTGCCACACTCATCATGTACCGGAACCCCTCACGCTCAACTATTCGAAAGGGTAACTCATCGATAATTACCATTTTCGCTATAGCCTTTCTAATCAATTCCTGGTCAAATTTCCATAAATGTAGTGACGATTGTGCGGAGCCACTTGTATGATCACGTTCATGTGCCTGTAATGCTTGTTGGAACACTAATGTCTTTTGTCTCTTCTCCAACACATTCAACGGATACTTCTTACATCTACTTAAAATGGTTACGTAGACAACTTATACCACTCTTGCTCGGACAAGCTAAAACATTCCCACAATAATGACAAGATAGCCGTGGCATCATCCTTATTCTCACACTCAATCTTAGAGAAATGATCCCACATGTCTAAAGTGTTCTTCCTAGCAGTAGTACCACGTTTTTTGGTTCTACGTGGCACTGGTGCATTGCAAGTATTTTCATTTTCACTCACATTTGTTGGTGGAATCAACGCATGAGGGCCACGGGCATATGAAGTCCCACAAGTAGGAGGTTCTTTGTTGTCATTGATCGACGACATCTGCAGCCAAATAAAGGTGTTTATAAGTTTACAGGTTGTAACTAAATAAAACTACAGCGTACAAGAGCTTTGCAAAACTGCAAAAGGAATACTGCTGGGCAAAATAAAGAAAAAAACTGCTAAACTGTCCACTTTCAAGAAATAATTAGCCCATGCTACAAATATAAAACAAGTGGAGCTATTGAAACCCTACCAATGGACTAAAGAAGCTACTCATAGATTATATCTATAAGTGGACTGCAATGGCCATGCTGACGACGAAAATGGCCTTCAAAGTTTGTTTACAGTCTCAAATTTAAGTGGAAAGGAAAGTACCAAGCATTTTATAATATTTGGCAAGACCTTAGTGGCAACTTGGAGGAGTCAACACTAGTATTTGCTAAATGTTGAAATTAGGTTTCAAAGAAATTTATGGAGGTTAACCTGGAAATTCCAACAACATGCATGCAACTTCTAAGAAGCTAGGATTTATGTATGTATCAGAGCAATCCAAATCTACTTTAATTAAAATCAATGAATGCAAAGACTTGAGATACGGAAGAAAATGAAAGCTCTCGGCTGAATTTAAGACTTTATAAATACTTTATGAAATTCTTTGGTGTATGCCCCACTTATAGACTTTTATGAATACCACCAAATACAAAAATAAATTAGGTGAATAGTGACTATAACATTCTTCTAAAGATATTTCCTTA